CATCTTAATACATAAGAAATAAGACCCAATCTAGCACATTTTTCGAAAAAGGCCAAAACTGACCATGCAAATGGAATCTTTTGTTCAAGTTTGCCGGAATATATTTCATCAATATGAGAAACGTCTATAACATTCTGATCGGGCATATATGAAGAGTGCTTATTTTGCGCCTCATAAAGATAATGTGAATTTCTACTTTTATTTTGGCATTTTAGACCTGTCCGGCGCACAAGACCAAAGTCGCCAATTTTAACTCGAGGATATCCTCTAGAGCCAGACATTGAACTGCCGAAAAGTAAAACGTTTCGAGCAGCCAGATCGCGATGGACGAAGTGTCGAGTTGCCAAGTATGCCATTCCACATGCGAGCTGGATTCCCATATCCCAAAGACTGTCGGCAAGGAACGCCCGAGGAATAGGCGTGGAAGGATGAGGATTGAGGATGGAGTCTGGGTCTTCATTGACGATGGAACGGCCACAAAAAAGGGAATTGGCCCGTAAATGCGAAAGTAGACAGCCAAGAGGAGCCAATTCAGTCACCTAGATTTACAAAATTGAAATATAATAAGAGGAGTAAGGAAATAAGATTTGATACGAAGACGAACGACAAGTGGTTTTAAGCCTTTTTGCTATGTAAAAATCACAATAATAAAGTTTCAGGAAAAAGAGAAAAAAGGCCAATAAAAAAGTATGGAGCAAATCTATAGTTTGAACAATTTTTAATGGCAAAAACTAAAATAAGGGACAAGTATACTTTAAAATAATATAAAGTATGTAAAGAATTGGACTGATTTCGTTTTCACAACTTGCTTATTTATCCAGAGACTTTAGAGAACTTGTCTCGTACTGCGTCCTCCAGTATAAGAACGTTCATTGGATACCTTTCCAGGCGTTTCTCTGGCATCCTAGTTGAGATAGTCAGTAAGACTTACAATCCTTAAAATTGAGGTGCAACCTGGAAAAAGACAAATAAAGCCTATCCATTGAACAACTTTCTGCTGAGCCTTTTTGTTAATCCTCCTTCTGCCTTAATAAATTAATCTATCTCTTCCCTCTCAAAGTCGCCATCCCTCTAGCACAATTTAAACATTGTTCATCCGATATGCAACTGAAGGGCGACATTTTGAGGCGTAATCATACTCAGCACTGGTTTCCCCTAACTTCTGTGCCAGAATTTCTAATCCATATCAAATTTTCTGTTTAGTAAACCAATGCAACCAATTTCAATCAAATTATTCTCCTTATCTTATT